GTGTTTCAAATGTATCGTTAATGCATCGTATCATTGGCAACGTATCGAGATGAGCATCGCATCGGCCTCAGTGATGGAGATGCACATCCCTAGTGGAAGCCGTAGCGCTGTAAAATGCACGACCAATCATCTGAGCCGGCCCGGCTAAAATAACTGGATGGCCTATCTATCTCGTGCCCTCATTGGTCATGTGCGCATTCGTGTGTATTGGAGGATGGGCTCTGTAAGGAAATGGTATTTTCAAATTCTAGCGCACTCAAGCTGGTTTCTCCAAAATGACATACCCCACCTTTAATTATAAAAGTAATAACTATCTGGGGCCTCATTTATAAAGGGATATACGCTCAAAAAAATGGCGTAGGCCAGTTTCTACGCAATGTTTGCGATTTATAAAATACTAACTTGACAAGAAAATGTGCGGTCCTCCACGCAAACTCTAACCCATGCATACGCACTAAGCACAACAACGGGAGAGACGAGAAACTGCGACACCGTTGGCAGAAGGAAGAATGGAGAGAAATATGTGGAAATAATACCATAAATAAAATGTTACCTCATTTATCATATATGAAGAATTCATTTTCAAACATTGATTAAAGCCAATCTTTAAATGATTAAACAAACGCCTGTTTGAGACTCCTCAGTGCACACAAAAACATAACTTGGAGAAATAAATAAATACGGATATGTTATTTAAAACCACCTCGAATATGTTGTGTTAATGTTATGAAATGTTTTCTCATAAATGATGCGGTAAGCAGGAGGACAGAATTAGGTCTAAACTGACGCCGTTTTGCATTTCTATAGGTTGTATATACGAGCATGGTTTTATATAGGCTACTATCACGTTTAATCGTGTTTTATGCCGTTTGCCAAGACTTGATAAGTCGCTCGTAAAACACAGGAGGTATGGAAACTATATGTGGTAAATTGTACAGCTAATATAACATAACACATTAGTTGTATTTCCTTTAACTGGTGGATTATGGATATATAGTTGCTGATCGAAAGCTGGAACACAAACCACCAAATACAAAAAAATAATTCAGATCCAGTCGTCATGACTCCACTCTGGAGGTATTCATTACATTACATGTTACTTGTTAGACGCTTTTATCCAAAGCGACTTGCATACTCAATACTGTGGGCAATCCCCACAGGAGCAATTTGGGGTGAAGTGTCTCGGGGACACAACGACATGCTGACTGCAGTGGGGTTTGAACCTGTGACCCCCAGATCCGAACACCTACGGACAACCCACTACGCCACACGCCTCCCTCGATCATTTCTTAGCGTTTCTCATCAAGGGGGTGTCTCCTGTCCCCGGTACAAACACACTGCCCGAGGAAGGTTATGTCTATTTTTTTTGTCATTAACCTTTTTCGGACCACTTATTTATTTATTTATTTTGGTGACGATCCGACCTCCATGCTGCTACTCTGGTTCAAACTGCATCCACCAAACAATATTATTTATCTCGGCCTCCCCAAAATAACCAAAATCTGACACGGTGTGAGATGTCTTTTTTAGCTGTTCTATCGTAATTTCCTGCGATCTTCTTCATGCAGTCAATCAAAATGAATGAATGAATGGGCGTTTCTTAGGCAAATATGGGCGTTACGTGAACGTAACGTGTAACTATATTTTTGCTTTGTACTACGCAAGCAACTTTCCCACGTGAATCCTACGCAAGGCGTTATAAATGAGGCCCCTGGGCAGTTAGACCCCATTGTTTCAGTAAACAGTAATGTCAGCATGTTTCTGGGTCCCATCTCTGTCAAACACAGACATAAATCAAATGGATTAGACCAGGCATCCTCAAAGTCCGGACTCCGGTCCGGACCGAACCACAACTGTCTCTGGACTCTGAGCAAATTATACTTTTCATATGTATTAATCTGTGTTATCTGCGAGACATCGCCACAACGCTATGTCCACTGCAAACAGCGCTCTGCATGTCAGACTGTTCCACTGTCTGTGTGTGTCTGTCAACGCTTTGGTCCAATCACATTCAGCATCCCGTCAGCGTTTTTTCCCCCCACCAACAGTCTGCGAATCAGAGGCACAGTAGGGCGGGTCTTCGCGGAATACGGGTGGGAAAAATGCGTGTGTCGTGTCGTCTCTCTCAACCTGTCTGAGTCAGAGCGAGAGTTTAACAAAAAAAAAGTCAGAGCGAGAGTTAACAGCTCATCTAGTTGCATCTGTACTGTAGCTAGTAGCCTAGTTTCACCTACCGGGGTGGCAACTGCTAAAAATAGGCCTTGCCACCCAAGTTGGCAGCTTTGTTTTGAAAGAAAGGTTGTGGCTCATCTGACATTTATGAGAGAAAGTGTCAAATGTCCGAGTGCAAGTGAATGCAGCACAAGATGCACGTCTTGTAACCCCTCCCCCGTCCCTAGCGCGAAAATATGATTCTCGGAGATTTCATTTGAATGGGACGGCGCAAAACGAGAAGCATTCGGACCCAAGTACTGAAGGAATGAGGTATTTGCGGTCTACAATGACAGAGAAGAGACTGTTAAGTTTGGCTGTACTCAGCATTGAATCAAAACGCACTAAAGCTGTTGATCTTAATACGTTTGTGAGGCGTTTTGCTGAACAAAATGGTAATCGCCGCATTCAGCTGTAATAGACATGTCAACTTGATGCTCTGCTCACGGATGACCATACGCGTGTACATATATTTTTTTCTTTGTGGGGGTCTGCCCCAAAAAAAGAGTTTTAAGTCCTGAGAAAGTCAAATAAGGCGGTGTGTAAAACTACACTGCCCAGCCAAAAAAAAGTAACCACTTTGATTTAACTAGGCCAGTAGGTAAGGACATTCCACTGGATAATAACTGAAGTATAAAATAATGCATGACTGAAGTGATGAGACCATGTTTGAAGGCAAACAAAAAGAGGAAATAACAGGTCAAATCAAGCAAATCCCCCTCTCAGATTCCACAGCAACCAGAAGAACATAAATACTGGCTGGTGATTTGATTAATCAGCTTTGTGATGGAATACAAAATGCACAGTGCATTTCCTTAGCTGTGGATGGGTCCACTGACACCACTGACAATGCTCAGTTGCTGGTGTTTGTGAGTTTTTATGATGAGGCAAAGGGGGAGTTTGTTGAAGATGTGTTGGGCCTGACGAACCTCAGTGGACACACAAGGGGGCAAGACATTTATAAAGCAATAATGGGAATGCTGAATGAAAGAGGGTGCAGCTGCCTTTATTCATAACTGTGCAGCTCTTACACTGCGACTCTGAGGGATCAAGCACAGACACAATAACAATGAAAACTGCTGCATACAGATTATTTTTGTTGTTGCAACCTCGTGTTAAGAATCTTGTTGCAATTGTTTAAAAGTTTGAATGACCGTAATAAACGGACCTTTGTCATATTGAAACTTTTTTTTTTTACCTTTAAGATTTGTATTTGAGTACCCCTGGATTAGACTAAAAGCAAGTGGTTTACCTGAAGAGATTTCCTGAGTCTGTCCCAGATGCCCATGTAGGGGTGGGAGGTATTTACATATTTGAGCATAGAGGAACAGTTTTTGTTAATGTAATATTTAGGTTACATTCAATAACAGGATTCAATTTTACATTGGTACCCTGTCAATAAAAAACAAACTATTTTATTATTTTATATTCATTGTATTTAATACAAGCTTACACTGTACAAGGTAGCATGCAGCTGTTGAAACCGTCACCTGGTTTGCATCCTCCAGTCAAATGTGTGTTATTGTTTAATAAATATTTGGAAAAATAAATGTATAGTAGATACATAAAAAAGGTAATTATACTAACGCCCAAGAATAATTATTTATGTGTATTGATAAAACTGTATCAAAGATATATTTGTTTAAATAGTAATTCATTCAGGAAACCTCTGGTCCATGTTCGCTCTCCGGTCCTGTAAATAGAAACATTTGAATAGAATAATTTGAAAAGTTGTCCTGTGCAACCCTCAAAAAAGGCAATTTTTTTTCAAACATGTCTTCTGTTGATTAAATAATAGTTTTGTAGGCTACATATTTGGATGTCACCTCAACAATCTCACATTGTAGTCTGTTTCTCTCAATGGACATATTCCAACCCAGGATTGTCAGTGGAGATGTTTGGTGCAGATCCGCCCTCTGTGCTCTCATAGGATCACACAACAAGCTACACACATCTCTGACAGTGAATTGTGCAAATGACAACTTGCAGGAATCAAAGCAGACTGGATTTTATTTAGGTGCAATTGTTTTGGTATACAACTACGGTGGTATACGGCGTGCAATTTCTGCAAAAGCGTACGTTCTGTTAGGCACGTACACACCAAAACAATACTCTATTTTCCTGTGAAGTTATTATCAAATTCGCTACATTTAGTGTAAGGTAGTACAAGTTGTTCTTACAGCAAATGATGGGGCGCTGGCTTCAACAGTGGCAATAACAAAGCAAGACCAATTAAATCTGCTCACCCGAGAGCTAGAGGACCAGCAACATTATGCTCTCGTGCCCGCGCATGTTGCTAAACATACAAGCTAACGTTTGCTATCTGCAGGCAGAACTGTTTTGGCTGATAACTGGGAATAGTTAACGCTATCACCCTGAACCAAGCGTGCCAACGGGGTAGTATTGGTTTGATGGAATCAATATATGATAGACTTATATAGTTTTATAGACATGTTACTAGATTTAGAGGCGATAACATTACAGCTACCAATGCTTTAGTTACCTCCTGCAGATACAGCTCTGAGCTAGCGTGTGCTAGTAGCTTATTTAGCGTAGCTTGCCATATCAGCAGGCAGAATGCGTTTTATCTGTTTAACCTTTTGAATTGTTCAAAGTTTTATAATTTCTTCTACAACGATTAACCAAAGTGTACCCACTGCACAATGTTTTATTCTGTGACCGTAGAAAACATCTCCCTGGAATTATCCAGACGTAACGTTACCTTTATTCTAAAATGCTAACTGCTATGTTGTTGGCTAACGTTGAGTATGTGAGGGGAAATATCTTACCGTACAAAACTCTTGGCAAAACTCAGAAGAGGTTTGGGTTGAGGAATCTCCACTGTCTCTAACCACGACTTCTTGCAGTTCTTGCAACCGTTGTCTGAGTTCCCCAATCGTTTCACTGACACAATTCTCAGGACTATGGTCCTGCTCGGCCTCCTCGTCCGCCATCTTCACACCCAGCTCCAGCGCGTAGCACTAGAGCGTAGCTACGTTTACGTGGTGACGCAATGTTGACTAGAGAGGTCACATCCGGATTAGTTAAGAACATGAACGAAAAAAAAGGCTTGTTTGAGACGAGCTGCGGCTCGCCTCGAAAGTAGACGAGAATAGCCGATCGCAGCCGGGGGAGGTCTCAAAAAGCTCGCCTGAAGTCGGACAGCTCGGAGTCGGCTTCTTCCTCTTCTTCTTCTTCTCTCGGTTTTTTGGCGGATTGCAAACAACTTTAAGGTGCATACCGCCACCTCCGGAGTCGGCTTGACTCGGTTTGCATTTATAAAGAATGCACAAATGTGTTTAATCGTTAATGTCAGATATGTACTAAGTAAATACATTTGTTCCTGCTCAAGATTAGATTCAACTTTATTGTTATTGCACAGATTACAGGTACTGAGACAACGAAATGCAGTTTAGCTTCTAACCAGGAGTGCATAAAGCAGTAAAGTGAAAAGTAATGTACACAATCTACAGAATAAAATATAGAATGAATTGAATGATGAAAAAACAGTGAGGGGTATGAATACACCAGGGGCCGTTCTCATTTCATCAAATCCCCCTCCTCGACTCCTCGACTCCTCGGTCCTCCGGTAGTGACCCGGAAATGAATTTTAGCGCGCCATGTTGAAGGACATCTCATTTCTCTAAATGCACATCGAGGACCGAGCGTCGAGGAGGCTCTCTGGAGGAGCTATAACCGAGGATACACTGATGGGTCCTCCACGGCTCCTTCGTGGATGCATTTCCGGGAACAGAGATGTTTCACAAGCCTCGGTTGCATTCGAATAGTCCATTTAGCTTAGGAACCTTCCTAACGGAGTGAAATGACCCGGAAGTCCCTCAGTGGCAGCCATGATAAGTGCCGTTCGAATTCTCTAAATTAAAAGGAAAGGAGGTTTCAAACTTCCTTTATAACCTCCTTTAGCCTAGGAACCACTGGACCTCCCTAACCGAAAGGAGAGGAGAAAATGCTGCCCCACAATGCCTTGCAGCCGCAGCATTTGCCGTCACACAACAGTCGGCCGTTCACGGAAACAACCGATTATGAACGAGAAATGATATCATGAAAGTTACGGTGCTTATTAAGCATTTTAAAACGTATGTGGTAAGTTGCCAAAGTGCTTTGTTTTGAACGTTCATCAGTATTATAATCAAAAAGAGAAATATGAACGTTAGTTTTTACTGAAATGATCAAATAAAGTCAACATTTCACAGTCTTTACTGAGCTGTGTGGGGTTTGTTCAACTTTTAAAAGATGTTTGAATGGTGATATACACAGTGATAGATGTTAAGGACTAACGTTTATAATAAATACATTTGTATTGATTTTAAGATCTTTTCATACAATCATATGTATTGGGATCATTTGTATTAATGTGGACCGGAGGGAGAGGGTGACGAGCATAAGTTTCACTTTCCTTTTTTATTTCAATTTCAACTTTGGTCATGAAGAATATGTTTCTCTGTTGTCCCCGTTCATAAAGCATAAAACAACAGCATCAGAGCACGGTGCAGAGTCTCTAGATGAGTTTACAGTAGTCCCTCGTTCTTATTAAACATCCATGTTGTAGTCCGCTGTATAGAAAACTGTAGTTTCCATAGTTTCCCCACAGCAGCAGGCGCACATTTATGACCTCTGCTGGCGCATCATAAACACGTCGGATAGTGAAAGTGCAGTCGGATTCTCTAAAGTGCCGCAGTCTCTTCTCCTAAATCCTTTTGAATTCTCCTATCCACTATCCCTTAACCCCATGACGTTTCACTCCGAGGTCAAGGAATAGACGATAGGGTTAGAACTTAGGAGCTGTTTTTTTGGAGTATTCGAACGCAACCCAGGTCTCAATACCCCTCCTCGACTCCTCCTTTCCCTCACTCGCGTCCCTTCCTTGCGTCTTAGCTCCGCCTCCGTAAGATGCGAGCGAGAGACACGAGGAGGTGACGCGAGGACAGAGGAGTCCTCAGGTATTAATTGGGATGTCCTCGTTCACTCAAACGTCACTCTTAAACGACGTCTGTTAATGATGACATGTGCACAGCTGTATCCCCTCTCATTGGGTTTAACTGAATAACCCCTTAGAACCGGCCCATTTATTGTTAAATATGTATTTAAATGATGAATCTTTCTCTTTTTAGTCAAGGAATTCAATGTATGATGGTTGGTCCTGCTTTTGTGTTCCGTTTTGGTGTAAAATGTACATTTCAATAAAATTATAATTATAATAATGTGAAAGCCTTTACTCTGAAAATGTGTGTCCTGTAGATCCCCACATTTACCACAAACCCACATTCAGGACTGTGAATTTTAAATAATTTAACTCCTGAATATCTTAACACAAAACAAAACAAATAATTTTTATTTATCAAGATCTAGCCATTTATGAAATAGCTTTCTTAATAGCTATGTTTTAGTGACGTTCAAGATCATTAAACATGACTTAAATTGTTAGTATAACCTTAAGAAATGAATTGCACATAATAATTCCCACGGAGCTGTGAGCACTTATACATTTATGTGACGCTTTTCCACTCATTCTTCCAGTTCTCCGTTTTCCTGTGTTGAAATCGACCAGCTGTGAAGGTGGGGGCGGGGCTTTTATACGCGAGTAGTGAAAACACTTCCGCGTAGTCTGCTCTCGTGTATCCTCCCTTTCGTCTCCTCCCGCACCCCTCCTCCCTCACCCCTCCTCGACTCCTCCGTGTGCATTTCAGCTATTGGGACGTCCTTCAAAATGGCGTGTCTTGATCGATTTCCGGGTCAAGTCCCGGAGGAGGGGAAGAGAGGAGTCGAGGAGGGGTATTGGGATGAGGCTACAGGCCCTTTCTCATGTCTTCAAATGTTCCTCCTCGACTCCCCTCCTCGACTCCTATCCTCGAGACTTACGGGCCGTCTCCACGGCAGCGTTAAAAAAATCTTGGAGGTGGGCGTATCTGAAGCTTGAGGATTTTTTGCGAGCAACCAATCACATGAATCTCCCGCCCGCGACATACGAAGCAAAAAAGCCCGAAGTAAACTGGATATAAACTCCCCAAAACAGGCGAAAACCTACCACTGTCTCTGCCACCTCCCTCCATGCCTGGCTCCTCCGGTTTATATCCCGGTAGGTCTGGTCATAAAGCACCGGGTGATTGATTCGGTACCGCTAATTTCTCCTCCATTTTTTGGAATATGAGGAAATGACCTGCGGTATTTCTCTCCCAGCATACACGCCGTTTGATTGGCTAGAGCTTGAACTGTCAGATTTGCGTACACGGGATTTGATTGGCTGACGCTTCCACCTCAGCCTCAAAAGTTGAACATTGTTCAACTTTGGATCTTGAAAATCCTGAGAATCTCCGCTCGCCTGCCCACAATGCATTTCGGCGAAAGCGAAAAAAAGTGACGTCACCCCATTCAAAGTGAATGGGCAGAAGCGTTTCAAGATTTTTTTAACGCTGCCGTGGAGACGGCCCGTTAGTCCCGCCCACAGGAGATGCGAGCGGAGGAGCCGAGGAGGGGAACCGAGGAGAGAGGAGGGGAAGCAGCAGGCGGTTAGAGAAATGAGAACTCCTCTCCTCTGAGCGGTCATTTTAAAGAGACGTCCATTAATGATGACAGGAGGCACAGCAGCCCTCTGTCTGATGGACAGATGTGTTCATGACGACTTACATATTTACTTTTAATTCATTCACAGTGCGGTATAATGAGACAATAACAGGCTACAGATGCGGACATACACACAGACACAGACACACACACACACACATGTATATATTTATATAAATATATACAATTTCAGAATCAAACAGAGCACTCTCATAATAACGTAACACTATCAGAGACTGGATATATCCCCCCCCCCCCCCTCTCTGGTCGCTACAATGAGGGAAATAAATGACGGGCCAAAAGTTTTATTTACAAGTATTACAAGTAAGCAGAGGACACCAAACCAACTGAGACCTATCTGTCCGCTGCATCTACGCACACACTGTACCACACACACCTACACCACACACACGCACCAACAGCTCCTAAAGCATATAATCAGGCTACAGCCGTTGTGTATTTTATTATGTGAAGCACTAAATGGTTTTAGAAAAATATCGACTCTTTGTTTGTAGATATCTACTACTAAACTAAAGCAAATAAAGAGAGTAGGCCTGTTATACTGAGTGATATATATTATACACACTGCTCTGCTTTCTGCACGGACCTCACAGCTGTTCTCACTGTAAACATCGCGTCGCGATCGGTCGCGATGAGAGCAGTTAATAAAATAATATCCAGGGGATGCATGCAGAGCTGTCATTGGCTGAGATAAGTCCGGCCGTGCGTCTCGACTCTTTGAAACATCACTGTTGCCGGAAATGCATCCACGAAGGAGCCGTGGAGGACTGTGGAGGACCCATCAGTGTATCCTCGGTTATAGCTCCTCCAGAGAGCCTCCTCGACGCTCGTTGCTCGGTCCTCGATGTGCATTTAGAGAAATGAGATGTCCTTCAACATGGCGCGCTAAAATTCATTTCCGGGTCACTACCGGAGGACCGAGGAGTCTGGGGTTGCATTCGAATAGTCCATTTAGCTTAGGAACCTTCCTAACGGAGTGAAATGACCCGGAAGTCCCTCAGTGGCAGCCATGATAAGTGCCGTTCGAATTCTCTAAATTAAAAGGAAAGGAGGTTTCAAACTTCCTTTATAACCTCCTTTAGCCTAGGAACCACTGGACCTCCCTAACCGAAAGGAGAGGAGAAAATGCTGCCCCACAATGCCTTGCGGCCGCAGCATTTGCCGTCACACAACAGTCGGCCGTTCACGGAAACAACCGATTATGAACGAGAAATGATATCGGTATAAAGTTACGGTGCTTATTAAGCAATTTAAAACGTATGTGGTAAGTTGCCAAAGTGCTTTGTTTTGAACGTTCATCAGTATTATAATCAAAAAGAGAAATATGAACGTTAGTTTTTACTGAAATGATCAAATAAAGTCAACATTTCACAGTCTTTACTGAGCTGTGTGGGGTTTGTTCAACTTTTAAAAGATGTTTGAATGGTGATATACACAGTGATAGATGTTAAGGACTAACGTTTATAATAAATACATTTGTATTGATTTTAAGATCTTTTCATACAATCATACGTATTGGGATCATTTGTATTAATGTGGACCGGAGGGAGAGGGTGACGAGCATAAGTTTCACTTTCCTTTTTTATTTCAATTCCAACTTTGGTCATGAAGAATATGTTTCTCTGTTGTCCCTGTTCATAAAGCATAAAACAACAGCATCAGAGCACGGTGCAGAGTCTCTAGATGAGTTTACAGTAGTCCCTCGTTCTTATTAAACATCCATGTTGTAGTCCGCTGTATAGAAAACTGTAGTTTCCATAGTTTCCCCACAGCAGCAGGCGCACATTTATGACCTCCGCTGGCGCATCATAAACACGTTGGATAGTGAAAGTGCAGTCGGATTCTCTAAAGTGCCGCAGTCTCTTCTCCTAAATCCTTTTGAATTCTCCTATCCACTATCCCTTAACCCCATGACGTTTCACTCCGAGGTCAAGGAATAGACGATAGGGTTAGAACTTAGGAGCTGTTTTTTTGGAGTATTCGAACGCAACCGAGGATGGGACATTTGATGACATGAGAAAGGGCCAAAAAGAATTTCATCAATGACAAAACTGAGGAAAACAAAAATAAACCCTGGGAACTTTGGAAATTACTCAATAACCAGCTTGGCTGCAGCAAAAAACTCAAAACGAGATTTTCAAACTTAAACATAAAGACAGATAACAGGCTCATCACAGACAAACTGGATGTGGCCAAGTACAACATTTTTTTCACAAACATAGCCACAACTCTTGTAAATAAATTACCCACCCACTCAGGGCTTTTTGGAGTAGATCACATCATGACCTACTACAAAAACCTAGGGGTACGCAAAGATGATTTCAGTCTAGCAAGGGTAACAACAGCAGAGGTACTCATTAAACTGAGCGCCCTCAAACCTAACAAGGCCACTGGCCACGACAATATCCCCTCCAAATTCCTCAGAGACACAGCAACCGCTATGGCGGCAAATCTCTGTCATAAATCGCGAGGGCATATGAGATCCACGCGAGCACAAGTCAAGCAGCCGCGGACGTATATTATTTTCGCGAGCACTAAAACGGCACTCGCGCGAGAGCAATATTGAAGCCTGCAGGGGAGAAACATGCCTTGAGCATGTACAGCATCTACATGAGCTCTCCTGCGCTCTCGCGAGCAATTCCTGCTCTTCTGCTCGTGAAACTCTGGCCTGCTCTCACTCGCGGAGAAATTTTAGGAAGTGGGCGTACCGTGTCCCAGTAACGCCAAATCTAATTGGTTACACCCCTCCTCTTTTATGATTGGCCGTTGTCTGGATTTAAACCAGGAAGTACTGTTTGTCCCTCTCCAAACCATGGATGTATAATAAGAGCTCCAAACCTGCTCCAAACGTGATGAAATATGGCTGTGGAAACGTCTCACGTAAGTTACTTTACTTTACTAATGATTGTTTTAATTAAAGGCATGCTTTTGTATTCTGTGGTTATTCCACAAGAGCCGTCCTTACTTATAAATGGATTGAGTTTTTTTAGATAATACATTTTTATACATATTTTTAAAGATAAGAACCAATTACCTTTTCGGTCTTGACATATGATAATATAAAATGTAGCTTTCAAAAACTGAATTTGGAATTAATAATTTTGATTACTTTAGCAAAATATTTTCACAAATGTCGCTTTTTCAAAATGTCCCCAGTTTTTATTGCCTTTCTCAAAGAAATAATACTACACAAAAAAAGTATAAAATGATGCAAATGTAAAAAAGCCCAAGAATTTTGCAAGTTTCTTGGCACTTTAATTTCTGAATGACCACTTTTTTTTCTGTTCAAATGCCCTCAGCTTATTTTTTGGAATGTTTATGATGAACATTGATGTTTATGTGCCTTATTCTGTATTTAACATAATTGTTTCAATAAAGATTGACCACATTTCTTAAAAATATAATTAAATACAAATAAAATAGTGAATAGATAATTGTGGTATAGCGTCATAACTGAATTAACAAACTCTGACCAGAAGGAAATATTAGCTCCACCTGAAAAAAGGACTGTTACACCTTTAGTTAGGGTTTACAAACACATATATTCAAGGAATCTTCCTCAAGTATTAATTTAGTTAATTAAAGTGTACTTTATTTTTCTTCACAGCATATTCTGAAACGGCAGATCCTGGAGAGACTCCTGTCGAAGTTTGAGCTTGCACTCATTCGAGCACCACTTGACCTGGATTTCCTGGAGTTTGCATGTCGCCAGGAGCTGTACCTCCTGCAAGCACTTTCGAGACATGTTGACATACCGCAAGGAATAATCCAAGCTCTTCAAGAGCTGTTTGGACTACTTAGGCAATATTTCGATTCAGATGCCCCAAATACAGCAGTGGGATCAGTTATTGGTCTAAGAGGACGTCCTAAATTTGAAATTGAGAGGCAGCAGTTGGTTGAGATGTTGGGGACAAACCTATCGGTGCCTTTCATTGCAAAACTGCTAGGTGTTTCTTCCAGTACAATCTTTAGAAGGATGAGAGAGTTTGGCTTATCTGTTTCAGAACTTTATAGCTCCATCAGCGATGAGGAGTTGGATAACGTGGTCATATCTATCAAGAATGACATGCCCACTGCTGGATACCGAATGGTCAAAGGACGGTTGTTATCTATTGGTCTACGTGTACAATGGACAAGAATGGCTGCCTCAATGCATCGAGTGGATTCCATAGGCATCCTCTCCAGACTGGCTAGTCTGGGCTGTGTTGTGAGGAGAACATATTCAGTGCGAGGGCCTCTCTCGCTTGTGCACGTGGATACCAACCACAAATTGATACGGTAGTGGTATTTATATTTCGCTAAGTGATTAAGAAATAATCTCTTTGTAATGTCCCAGATTTGGAGAATCGGTGTTTCAATTCCAGAGTGCTATAATAGTTTGTTCTTTGGTTTTTCAGTTATAACATTGTCTTATTTGGTGGAGTGGACGGGTATTCGAGAAAGGTAAGACTGCATTTCACTTCAGTAGACACACATTAAACAAACATGTATTTTTTGTACGAGTTTACTGCTAGCTACTTAAAACCACAAAAGAGGTCCCAACGCTGTGTCCTGGCTTTGGTCCAAATGGAGAAAGTGTATGGACTAAAAAGGAAGCAGCAAAGTCAAAGTAGATATAAAGGAGATTTTGTGCATTGCCTATTTTTGCTGCACAAGTATTATGAGTCAGTATACTGTATGTCAGTATTGTTTGCTTATTTCTATTGCAACAGGAATTCTTTAATCTCTGCATTTTTTCCCCTATAATACACAGTTTAACAGAATGTTGTCTAGTTATTGTGTGTAATTGCCCTATTCTTAAATATTCTCTGCAGGTAATGTAATTGGGTGCTTCGACCAACAACCGTGCGTCAACAGCCTATGGCTTCTTCCTAGAGGCAACACAAAGACATGGAGTGCCTTTAAGGTGAATTCACAGAAAAAAGCACACTCTTTGGAGAGCTAGCTCAATACTGTGACACTTTTGGATGAATATTTTCTTTGACAGTCCTTTGGTCAACTGTGTACATTTCAGGGTCAGAGGAGACCAAGGAGTAGAAAACGTACAGATAGCGAGATTCATGTTTTCGGTTCGCGGCACCGACCGTGGAAGCTTCATCTCTGGTAAATGTGTTCATAACCAGAGGTAAATTGCAGCATCTCTAGTAACTCAATTAGTGAGGTGGAATTATCTGATGTGTAGACCAAGCACCTTGCACTTAACCCATGCTAGGCCAGCATGAAAATAGATCACTTGAACTGGTTTTCCCTAAACCATGTATTTTCATCCATAGGATTGAGCGTCTTTGGCGTGATGTACGAGTCATTGTCACCAACAAGTACTCTGCGATACTGCTCTCCCTCGAAGAGGATGGTCTGCTCGACATCTCATCAACAGACGACCTCTTCTGTGTGCACTACATTATTCTTCCCCGACTTCAGATGGACTTGGGGATTTTTACAGAAGGCTGGAACCATCATCCACTCAGCACTGAACGGAACCAATGTCCAGAGCAGTTATGGCAACTTGGACTGATGCAGACAAACATTGATCAGCCGGAGAGCCCTGAGGTATTGATCTCGTTTCAGCATTAACCTCTCATTGTTAGAAGCCTAGTTACGTTTATTGGATTGTCATTGAAGATATTAATTACTTACCATTTACTTTGTGTAATATATATTGTCAAAATATTACTTTCTTTCCCTACTCTTGGCATGACCATTTTCTGGGCATTTTATTCAGTTTGTGTTATTTTAACTTTGTAAAAAATAACACGAACTATTACTTGATGTCATTGTTCCACTTTGTTTATAAGACATACATTTATTTCACCCAAGTGTTCAAAACCTCTGTTATGGTTATTAGGAGCCAGATGTTGACTGGGAAATTGCTGCTGACCACGATGGAGAAGAGGATGCAGGGATTGTCGTCCCCGAATTCGACTGCCCTTTGAGTCCAGAAGACATAACTGAACTTCAATCAGTATTTCAGCAAATTGACCCAAACACTCCGGTCAAGGAACTGTACTTACTCTGCCGTGAGTATGTAGCTGAAAGATGTGGCTCTTAAGAAATACAGCTCCCTTGAATGACACAGATGAGGGTAAACCTAGCCTTAAGCCTCATAGTAGGAATATAATGGGGAAACAGTTTAAGTTAGTAAGGTGTATTATATGTGTATTACAGTGACTATAAGAGGTGGAAGAAGTACTTAACTAAAAGTAGAAATACCTAAATGTAACAATACTCTGTTCCAAGTAAAAGTCCTGTGTTCAAAGTGTTACTTAAGTAAAAGTACCAAGAGTAAAGTTACTTGGCACAACTGGTGACAATTGAAACAACAATCGACACAAAATACAGCTCAAAAGTATAATGGTTCCCCAACTTCACCATTTGTTTCAAAAACATTTTGACTGGAACAGTATGTGATGTCACTTGAAAGTTTGACTGTATAGTAACATTCTCATCTTGAACAAATGAAAACCTTGTCAAATAAAGTGCAATAAAGACTGTTTTAACAGAAAACATCGATTCTATGAATCTTATGAACGACTAAACTCCCTGCTACTTATAACAGCCTGTGTTATAATGCTCAGGAACTCCGGATATGAGCCGAGGTGCCTTGTCGGAAAGGTAATAGAGTTGGAGCATGCATTAACTACTGGAAAGCATACAGTGTGTGTACCATAGTGCACGCTGCAATCGTGGTCGAATTCAATTAGGATTTTAAATCTCTCTCTCTCTGTTGAGGTGATGGGGACATGTGCCTGCCCCGTAAGCCATTGAAGGAAGCAGCCAACAGTGATCTTGTGTTTTTCCTTCATCTCCTCTTCATCTCTCGCCAGTTCAACTGTAGACTCTGTCTCTCTTGAGTCTCCATCATCAAGATCACTCTCTGTTGTTATCTTCACAGGGGTCCCCCTCTCTTCAACCACGAAGCTCTTTTCTTCCTCTTAAAACAAGTTGAAAGTTAATACAAAGAAATGCATATCTTCACCTAAGCAATGTCAATAAATATGGCTATTGTTTTTAAATTGTTTTTTATGTGGATATTTTGAAGAAGAAAACCTCATTAGCCAGTCCTGCTTTAGTTATCATTGTTTCATCGCAACTATCATGATGCAAAGTTGTGTTTAAACTGAGACATGTAAACATGAATAAAACAGGTATACAAAGCTGTCATTGAGTTGCCTGTCGTAATCGGGGGTACAATTCAAGAACAAATACGTTTATAAAATGTCAGGGCAGTAGTATCACCTTCATCTTCAATGTTTTGGATGAAGTCTTGCAAAAAGTTTACAATCCTCGATTCCCTCTGCCCAGGGCAGAGGGAATCGAGGATGCCCAGCTCACTGAAGACTGGAGATATGGCTCCCATCAGGAATTCAGCATCCGGCTTGGAGAGAGGAAAAAATAAAATGGTGTATGCTCAAAGTTGGATGAGCTTAACCCTTTAATTGCCAGACCAAGAAAAAAAGCTATGGAAAAATTATTAGTTTGCATTTTTTTATCAAATGGGCCACACATAACCAAACACATTTTTTTAAAAAGGTATCAATATTGATATTGATATAAAAAGTAATGTAAAGTGTTTTTCACAATAAAAAAAAGACGTGCTCATCTTACTGTAGATGCTGAATTGGCCTAAGAAGAAACCACTGGCCTAACAGCAAATGTCTATATCCTGTGTTGGCCTAACTTGCTCATCTGTGTGCAACTTTGGGCTGAATGCCATGCATGAAAGCTGCTATATAAATTATTATCACTCTTTCACTCTGAGACTCATAAGGCAGTACTAGATTTAGTAATATTACCATGAATCTAGCCATTTATTTACCATATTTTATTGGAAAACATCTATGAAACTCTGAAAAAGTCATATTGCTAGTTTACCATAAAAGGCCAAATCGACCGATTGGTTGAGCATATTTTCCAAAAAATAATTACACCCTTGTTAAAACTTGTTTTGTGCATCAAGTTATCTAAATATGTTCAGTCAGTGCTCTGACACTGAAATATGTCAAAAATGATATGGTTACCTTACAAAAGTTGACCAAAAAGAGTGATTTCTTCAGCAGTGATTTTTTAGCATGCCAACTTTCTCAGTGGAAGCTAGCTGAAGGGCTTTCTGTTCAAACCACAGTGACATCTAGAGGTTGTTTTGTGCATAACATGTCAACCAAAGGGTAGAGCTGGCTGAATCAGATGGAGTTACACTTTAAAAAAAAAAATGTCAACAAAATATCAAGACACAAAATGTGCTCTACCAAATGGTGGCGCTGGCTGTTAAAAGGTTAAGGTTTGAAATGCAGTGGTAAAATCAGCTAGAGACATAATACTGACCTTTTCATGAAGGCCAGGGACGAACAGATCCCTGAAGTTGTGTGGTTGTTGTACAATCATCCCGCACAAGCCATACAGCTTCATGCCTGAGCATATCTGCTGCAGCATTGGTAGGATGCGGACCGATGAGTGCAAGATAATTGCCCTATAATTCAGTAACAGATAACAGCAATAATATAAAATCATACATAAAAAAGGGAAAGAGTGACTGCACACTCAATATGAGTGTAAAAGAATAATTGATTGGTTTTAAACATGGGTTGTTATGGGTTAAATCACTTAGCATATGCACATACTTTATTATTTCTTCCTTCCTCTCCCACGTTGCAGGACCACTGTACCCGCATGCTGTTATCCGATCCAGAAGGTCGTACATAGCTTCAGGTTCAGCCATCTCAACCTTTGCAATTGGAAAAACAGCATCACACAGTAAGTCATGGGAGCCTTAGCTTATTTTAAGAATTAGAGAATATTCACACTACAAAGAGGTGTGTGTGTGTGTCAACCATACTAAAACAAACTTCATGTTATATGAAGGAGTATCTGAGGAGAAGAAAAATATTACCTCTTCCATAAGCTGGCTGAGCTCTGGATCAGTCACATCTTCCTTGGAAATGGAATCTCTATCCATCTCCCCAGTGGATATGTATCCATAGCACCACTCTCTGAAAAAGTTAGGTGGAGGACCACCTTGTACTATACTGACTGCCATAATCTCTCCAGCTGTCCTGCATTAACAAAGTGTAATCATGCATAGACATTATTCATAAATAAAATAAACATGGAAAAGATATTGCAGAACACAATTCTACATACTTGAAATGCTCTTTGTGGTAGTCAGTAATTGAGTACTTGGGGGTTTTCCCTGTACTCCCTCCCTGAAAAAACTTCCTTTCAACACCTGCCATCATTTCTATAATTGAAAGGAAAAGTGGATCAATACATTGATAATCTCAATTAGACCACTGTATATGTTAAAGAACAGCACGCGTCATGCAAAGCCCTTAACCTGTGCAAGCTCAGAAATTGCATGCAACCAGAGAACCGCCACACACTGAGGAATATTTTCATTTATTATAAGGGAGGTAAACATATACCTGTTAAGAATTCTTTCCTGAGAGCCCCATGGTCAATTCCAGACTCTCCAATGAAAGACACTCGGAGTTTTTTTTGGGAGAAGACCTCTTCTGACGTCTCCACTGCCCTAAACCCCTTTCAAAGATTTCCTCCCTAGTGACACTAACATTAAAGAGTGTCGTTGTGTCCACTCGTCCACTAAGTGTTTCGATGGCTTCAGCAAGACTTGAAGGAAACAATTAGAAGTTGATTAGACAACTGGATCAAAAACGTTTTCCCTTAAGAGACCCCTTTTGTATCATTGAGTAAACTGACGACCCCTGACTGATGTAAAGTGGCCTCTTTTAAATGATATTCAAGGCATAACAATAACAATGCAGAGCAACTGATGAACGGTACAATTAACACAAATAGTGAACACAATAACTGCAGGACGTTTTTGTTTAAAATAAGCAATTGCAGGTACATTTTAAGCATATTACCTTTTCACTCGCCCTGTCAGTTCTTCACTGGCATGTTCTTCCAAATCGATAATTTGTGTCGACTGCAATGTACTGATGAGGGAAAAAAGATTTCAATGGGGCATGCCTTAATCATGGTTTACAATATCTAACACTGCAAGAAAAAAGTATATAAAGAATGTGCATAATAGGAGAAAAAAAAACCTTTCTCTACAAGTGCTGGCATGTATTTCAACAAAATACTCAGGAAATAACTCTGAGCACAATGGACAGGCCACCTTTAAAAATACAGAAAAGCAGAGCAAATATTCAAGTGAATTACTGAGACGCAGAAACCTTCATCATCTGCAATAATGTAATTGATAAATAATGCCCTGATTTTACCTTAATATCGATTTTAGAACAGGAGGTCCTACACGGGAGCACACTTGGAGAAGCCTATAATAAAATGTAGAAAGACTTCCAATTAATGACACATACAATGAAGATTGTTTAGAAACAAACACCTACAATATTAGTGAGCTTACATTCCCAGGATTGCTTGTAGCTGGAGACTCATCTAAATCTGGGTCCAGATCCTGAAAATCGTAACCAGTTAAAAAAAGCTGTCGATTCAGTATGACAATGATCCTGCATAGTTATTTGTGGAATAACATTACCGGTTCCAGATCCATGCGGTCAGAACAGCTGCTTGGTTCACACTCTTGTGCGTGTAAAGCCAACAGCTGGACAGGCATGCTTAGATGACATGTGGCACATCTGGCTTTTGGCATATTTTCGAACTCCTCTGATGAGTAGGGCAAGGGGGAGGTGTCTAAAGTGTCCTGGATGGGCATTATATAGAGACAGCCTTTTCCACCTAAAGCTTTAGCAAGGTAGGCCCCCGTGTAACCCTCTGCCTCAGGTGCCAAAACACTTAATTTCCGCTGGCCTGATCCTCCTATGTGGGAATGTGTACAAACAAGTGGATGTTATTTAATGCACAGAATGTTCTAGGGGAGGCAGTTGATTTTAACAAGATGCACACTTGCAGTGTTAGGCTTTCTCATGGATTGCTAAAAACAAGAGGGTAGGTAAATATGCTAACCATCAAGGGCATTGATGAGTTATTATAAGAGCAGCTATTGTAGGAGAAGATAGAGGGTATACATAGGATTTAACTGCAGAGATACTAGACCACAGTTGAATTTAATAAGGGAGATTTTATCTTACCAGCAGCTTTATGTAGCATCCAGGCCCCTTCCAATGGTACCATTTTGGAATATGATTGCATAAGTATATATGATATCTATGTGGGAAGAGCAAAACAAGTGTGCAGTTAGAACTATAACCCTCCACACATGTCACCTCTGTTGAAGCTGATTTGTGACCAGTAGTACTTCAGTGGATTGGGAAACTACAGTAATACATAAAAAATGTCCCCAAATTGGGATCAATAAAGTGCTTCTTATATTATCTTGACTCCTTTCCTTATTATTTTTTCTATCTTACCTGGGAGTGGTCAGCATTTTCGGGGATATTGAGAGTCCTCCTGCCAAGTCCAGCCTGGAGAAGGACCATTTCATCCGATGACTTTGGTGTTCTTTCTGTGCACTGATTGAGCAGAAAGAACTGGATTGGGGTTGACCTAAGAGCCCCAATCCAGGGGCTGGGGCCCCTGGATTGGGGGGGGGGATGGCTATACCCCATCTTTTGGGAGATGGGGTATAGCTTTTACCGGATTTGAATAGGCCGGGGAAAGCCCTGAGGAGTTGAAAACAATGTGTAAGAGAGGCATTTAAGAAGCTGTTATACAATATATTCATTCTAAACAATCTGAAGAGCGTTAATTTCTATTAAAAAATACCCTGAATTATAGTAAATTGCCGAGTTATTACAATGACAATTCAGTTCAGAACTATCTTTATTTCCTAACGGATCCAAACCTGGCCATATTTTGATCCACTGTATTTCCTGCTGTAGAAGGAAAGCCAGGGGTCCTTTGTTGCTGCTGCCCCTGGACTGCCTGACGCTGCCTTTTCCCAGCCTGCTGCCTGTTGCCAAGAGCAGACTGCTGCTGTCCCTGTATAGTAGGCTGTCTGTTGCCCACCTCCACCTGCTCTCCCTGAACCTGTACTTCATCTGTGAACACAATTTAAAGATGTCTATGATTCCCTAGAATCTAAATAAACTGAGTACTAAATACGTAAAGTAGTTAGAATATATAAAGGCTTCATTAATTAAACATTACCCAGATAGTCACAAGCCCTGAAAATAAATAGAAGAAGAACAAGAAGAAGATGAACCTTTAATTATCCCCCATGGGGAAATTCAGTTTTTCACTCTGGTTTTAATATAGGTTGGTAAAACTGTCACTGAAACACCTCGGCGTGCTTCCGCCGGCCAAGACTGCAGCTGTAATTTTTTGTAAACGGCTGACCATTAGATGAATCTGTGAAGACAAGTGATCTCCCCCTAGTTTCACTTACGATTTTGAGAAGTTGGTTCAGCCAAGGCACTTCTCAGCAAGTCAACAACACGCCTGGTAGCATTTTGTAACTCTATCTGTTAAAACAGACACAAACAAGAAATAGTCAAATTGATTGTCACAATCACAGTGCAAAGACATGTCGTCTTGTTTATCCAGATCTGCTGACAGTTCACTTTAGCTAACTTTTATTATTGCGGGCAGACAGCTGTGTCACTTTCTTCTTATACCGTGGCTTGTAAATAATGCAATGTCAATATCTTAAATGCCCGTCAAGCAGATACAATTATAGTTATGTTAAACCATAGTTTTCTATATGCATAGCTAAAAGTACCGGTAGTTTTTTTTGTACGTACCTCCTTGTCGTCAGCCATTCTTCTTCTGCGGGGCTTTCCCGCTCCGATATCTCTCGTCATTTGAAAACGGCCAATCATAAAAGAGGACCAATTAGATTTGGCGTTACTGGGACACGGTACGCCCACTTCCTAAAATTTCTCCGCGAGTGAGAGCAGGCCAGAGTTTCACGAGCAGAAGAGCAGGAATTGCTCGCGAGAGCGCAGGAGACCAAGGAGAGCTCATGTAGATGCTGCACATGCTCAAGGCATGTTTCTCCCCTGCAGGCTTCAATATTGCTCTCGCGCGAGTGCCGTTTTAGTGCTCGCGAAAATAATATACGTCCGCGGCTGCTTGACTTGTGCTCGCGTGGATCTCATATGCCCTCGCGATTTATGACAGAGATTTGCCGCCATAAACCGCCATCTCACCAGTCATAGCTCACATAATTAACCTCTCCATAAAACAGGGAAAAGTACCCAAAGACTTCAAAATTGCAAGAGTAACCCCCCTGCACAAAAAGGGCAGCAAATTGGACCCAGGCAACTACCGCCCTCAGTCATGGAAAAAATAGTATATGAACAGGTCGAAAAGTACCTCGCGGAAAAGAAACTAATCTATGAATTTCAATCTGGCTTTAGAACATCCCACTCCACTGACACATGCCTTCTTTATTTGAACGACCACATCAAACAAGAGGTGGACGAGGGTAAATACTGCGGCATGGTGATGCTGGACCTACAAAAGGCTTTCGACAGAGTCTATTCTCTTCGGTTCGAAACATAATCTCAGCAAATCCGACGACTTCTCAGTTGCAGTGGGTGACATTATTGTCACTAGTAAGAAGGAAATTACATACCTAGGATCTATTCTTGAGGCAAACCTCTCCTGTGACAAAATGGCATCCAATGTAATAAAAAAAGTCAATCAAAGAACTAGATTCCTATACCGGATCTCCTCTCTGGTAAACAAAAGCACCCTGAAAACTCTGGCAGGAGCACTCATTCAAGGGTACTATGACTATGCTTGCACGTCATGGTACCATAGCACCTCCAAGGCGCTAAAAATAAAACTTCAAACAACGCAAAATAAACTGGTCAGACTACTGCTTGACCTTTCATCTAGAACCCACCTCACCTCTGCCCACTTTGACAACTTAGGATGGCTTAGAGTAGACGACAGAGTACAGCTACTTGCAATGGGCCTGGTCTACAAGATCCACTACACCTCTATGGTACCCATGTACATGTCAAAATTCTTCCCAAAGGTCAAGGAATACCATGATCATAACACCAGAGGGAGCTCCACAAATCATGTAAAACCCAGATTTGGCACAAAAAAGGGGGAATACACGTTTCGCAATTATGCCACATCAAGGTGGAACGCTCTTCCCACAACTGTAAAGGAAATTAAAACTATACTTACCTTCAAAACCTCTCTTAAAGAGCACCTTCGGGGGAGAGCATTGCAAAACTGGCCCCGGTAATGGTACAAATCTCAACCTGTCGTACGATGGACAGCTTCCCCCCCCCATCTATGTATATACTCGCATTTTATACTCTGTTACTAACTGTATATCTGTAGACTTGGTATGTCTTAAATGTCCGGTTAGGATGTATTAGAACGAAATCTAAAATGAAAATTGTAAATAAGCCATCTGTATGTAAAAAACCACCTGTATGTAAATTGTAAATAAGTCATCTGTATGTCTAATATGTCTTATATGTCTTAAATGATATGATGAATTGGAAATGGGGGACCCTGATGTAAACAAGACGAAAGTCTTTCTCTGGTCTGCATCCCCTTAACAATTGTATGTTTTGAGCTGTACTGTACTGTACCCAATATACAAGCTGTTAATAAACTTTTCATTCATTCATTCATTCGGGAACAGCTGATTGCTGCACGGCGATCAGCTGTCCCTCCCTCCCTCAAGGTGTGTGGGTGTGTCTGTGTCTCATTCACTGTCCCTCAGGTTGTAGCATGTTTCGATTGCCAGTTTGTGGCTTGTATGTCTTGTGAACGCAACGCTGGCATGATGTGGCCTGCTGACATGGCCTCTAATAAACACACAGGACTACAATAATACGTCTTTAATTCAGCCCAGATGCGGTGACTGCAGGCCAAATCCATTAATGCGGCATATATTGAAGGTGTTCAAAGTTGCACCGGTATGAAGCGCAGTGAGAACCACGCACCTGTCAGACCAGACCTTTATATATACAGTCTGTGTCAGACTAGCGAATGGGCACATTTACATTTCAGGAGAATAATGAAGATGTGATTGGTTGGTCCACTCTCCATTTCTCACGAGACCAGCGCGCTGCTGTTTACATTAGTGTGGACTGGACCAACTGAAACTGGCGGCAAGATTAATTATTGTTGCAGGATGGACCCCCATCCTGCAAAAAAAGGCAGCGAAATGTGCTAAAATCACTGATTTATTCAGAACCCCCTGTATGGTATAGAATGACGAAGCAGAAAGTAAGTGAGCGAACATTATGAGCCACATTTCTTTCTATATTGTAGCCTGATGTGCACATCGACTGTCAACAAAACAGTTTCTTAGTCCAATGCTAAGTTAGTGGCAGGCCCTGTGTGACTGGAGACTATAAGGCTACACAAAACCCAAACATGTCCTTAATGTTACTCAAGGCAAATATATGTAATATAACCGTTAGAATGCAGCTAACTGTGGGGCTACAAACCCCTCATACTGTGAGTGAATCACTTGAGATGGTTATGTTGTCTAAAGGGGAGACAATCATTATGGTATTAGGCCATGCAAATACAGGGTCAACTAAGTGATAAAATAAGTGTTGCATAATGTATGTTCTTGAATAATGTTATTTCATAAATAGTTGTTAATGTAATGATTACATGTTCTCCTTATTCAGTTCCACTATCAGATGATGCTGATGGTGATGACCCTGAGGGAGAGATGCAGGCAGAGCTCAGTGGACAGAACTGGCAGGTACAGAGGAAACTGTTTCAAAAGGCTATGTCTATGAAAACACTGAACAAAACAAAGGAAATGTAATGACAACAGTATAAGCAAGCTATGTTCATGTTCTCTCAATAAGTTACTATAGTTATTGATCAGAGTTTAATCCATTTGAGGTCCACCCCCAAATAAAACATGTTCACATGGAAAGGTTCCCAAATACATATGCACACCTTTTTTTTAACAATATCCTATGTCCATATGTTTCTATTTAAGATTCAAACTGTAGGGCTATCACTAAGGGCAGCAACGTTGTAAATATTGACGATACATCCAGCAAAACGCCCCCAAACAAAACTGGTAGTGGCCTGGCTGGGTGTATAATTCCCGGCCTGCTATGGTCCCAGTCCGGCCCTGCTGACACATCACACACCCGTACGCTACACACATTACTGATTAACTGATATCACAATTGAGTTACTCTCTTTAAATAAATATACTGTAATTGGAAAATAATCATGTGTGGTGTCCTTGTTTTGTCCGTCCTTGAGCCAGGGCTCCTTATTGTTGTATGTAGGTTATTCTTGGTTTTAGAATGAATTCAGTAATGGTGTGTGTGTAACACAAACATAATAAATCATTGGATAGTGTTTCTATATAATAGAAATAAAGTAATGTATTAAGACTCAGTGCGAGTTATTACTTTCTTCCTTTACTTGGCATTCTTCAAAAATACACAGACATTGCAGCACATCGTTTCACGTCTTTGTACAGCCTTTCTCAGCATTAAAGTGCAATGTGTTGGCGAACCTTTGTTTCCTCCTGACAGCTCACTTAAAGGTATACTCAATTCAATTCAATAGCTTCAATAGCTAGCATGACCTCAGTTACATATAGTATTGCCAAAGCTCTGTATAGTTGCAACATCTATACAAAATATATATATATACAATATATATATACTCCCCCTTGTGGCCAAAGGGGGACACAACTCTTGTCTTCAGATGTATGCTTGAGTGCAGCAAAATGTAGCACAGTGACTATTTTGTCAACTAAACATCATAAAACAATACATATTTTAGTAAACGGGACATTATAATCTCCGCACATTAACTCAATATTTGCCTCTGCCATGATGCCAAAATGAAATGAAATAAAATAAACAATATATAGGGTTTGCCTCTTCTCTGAACTTCTATGTATACTGCATCCCTCCATACCAAATAAACCATAAACAAATACATAAAGTCGTGTTCACTGCAGCCATCTGTTTCACACATAAAACTATATGAAAACTTGGTGATATACAGTTTTCTCCTGGAGACCAAGGGAAGACAGGCTTCTCCTGTTTTTTCAGCCTTTGTTATAATTTTGATAATTAAAAATATATATTCTTGTCTGTGGTTGTTTTTGCATTCAGGGCATACAAGAGGTGTAACATTATTTTAATACCAAAACTATATTGAAATAGAGTCTAGCTTGAACAGCACCTAAGTAGCTGTAACATTACTGGGTTATTTGGTGATAACTACCAAAGTAAAGTAACTTCAGACGCAGACGTCACGTAGCTTCTCAGACGAGAGGGGTGGCGACGAGAGTGTCACGTTACTTCTCTCGTGGCATAGTTCACGGCATGGTAGGCGACGATCGACACGATTGTGAGTTTGTTAATTGGCACAAATCACACCTCATACGAACAAGCCGAAAGACTTGGATGAGGCGAAGTCCCTCCCCTTCCGGTGGGACTCATGGGACCTTATTTCGGAAAAAGTTTGTATTGAAGTCAATGGAGAGAGAAAGATTATCTTTCGATCCCGTTTGAATTGTGCCACGAATTACACATATGATGTTTGTCAATCTTAAATAATAATTTCCATGTAAAAAAAGTCACAGTTTGTCGTAAAACTGTTGAAATATAAGACTATGAAAAATACGCAACTTGAAAGACTACAAATCCCAGAATCCCGGTCCCGCATGCTGGCTCTTACGGAACTGACTAACTCCCCTTGTGTGTATGTACAGCTCTCAACATGCCCAGACTTGTAGTGATTTTCACCTCTTTTAATACTTTTCGCCTCATTCTGAAAGAAAGAAGTGAAATGTGCCAACATGACGGCCGTCTTGGTGGTGGTGCGAGACGGGAGATGTA